ATCAGCAAGTGGAGGGTCTCATGGTGGTGCTTATGGAGGCGGTGAAGGAGGAGGAGCTGGAGGAGGTGGGTCAGGAGCCGGAGTGTATGGAGGCGGTGGTGGTGGAGGAAGCGGAGGTGGAGGAGCGTACGGTGGAGGAGGAGCACATGGAGGTGGTTATGGAAGTGGTGCTGGTGCAGGAGGTGGTTATGGTGGTGCAGCAGGAGGACATGGTGGTGGTGGAGGAGGAGGTTCAGGTGGAGGCGGTGGTGGAGGTGAACATGGAGGTGCTTACGGTGGTGGTGGTGGTTCAGGCGGTGGACACGGTGGTGGAGGATATGCCCCATGAAGAATCCAACTCGAGATATTATCAAAAAAAGAGGCTTGAAAAATAAAAGATGATTTGTGGAGGGGTATACAAATTAAAATGCCTATTTCAAAACATTTTGTAATCCATTATTGAACGTTGTATTTCCTAATAACTGAATATTTTTATTGTCTTATTGTTATATCATTATAAGCATTAATCTATTGAACAAATTTTATATAGAACCTTATGTTTTTTGGTTGGAGCTTCAAAACAAAATTGATCAAAGAGTGATGATGATATTCACAAGAAGACCCTAAACACAAGAACCAAAAGAGGAGCAACTTTTCGTTTTCTCTATAGCTAAGAAGGTGTTTGTAGTCTATGTGCTCCTGTGAGATTTGGAGTAAATATTAGTTTTTTTTTTTTTATTAAATTGTGGGAGTTCGAATGTTTGACCCATAATCTTTCCCAGATCTTTTATAGATATTCTAATTTTAAATAATATTCTTTCGTACCAAATGGGGTTTGAAACCGTGGGACTAAAGGAAACCAACCCATTTTACCACTTCATTTTTATGATTTTAGAGTTGATGTTAAGTTGCAAACCTAAAAGCTTGATTTAATTCAATTTATAGATTTCGATCTTGCGTACACTTTATAATCAGTGACCACACATAACAAGGTAACAAAATCATGCTACCAAAACACATTCACAAGGTATTTCAAGTGTGAAGTCAGTAGCCAAATAGCCAAAAGAAACAGAGATAAGACATAAATGAATTATTGGGGTTGGGAGTTTTAAAAACTTAGAAATTCCCACTATACTCAAAACGAATCCTTGTTGCCATAAGGATCACCAGATGCTTCCTCGTACGTTCTTGAATTCGCCGCTGAATCAGCGTTAGGGTCTAATCCTGCAAGCCGTAGTATGCTCTCAATATCTTGCACCACTTCACCCATCGTTGGCCTATTAACTCCTTCTGCCTCCACGCATCTCAGAGCAACATCTACATACTTCTCAAACCCTTTGAGATTCCCACTGTTTGCTATGATCGTCGTGTCAAGCATTTCTTGAAGATCATACATCATCCTCGATTTGTCCATCTTCTTCTTCACCTCTTTCACAACGTAGCTACCTCTGTCTATAGGACTTTTACCGGTTAATAGCTCAAGCATCACCACACCGAACCCATACACATCGCTTTTCTCGGTCAATTGATTCGTCATGTAGTACTCAGGATCCAAGTAGCCCTGATATTCCAAAGATGTTGTCATGAGTTTTTTTTTTTGGATTCTATGTATATCTTATGGTTAATTTTGTACTCACCATGGTTCCTTTGACTTGTGTTGTGACATGAGCTTTCTCAGGGTCTCCAACAAGTTTGGAGAGGCCGAAATCGGCAACTTTTGCAGTTAGATTTTCATCAAGTAATATGTTATTTGATTTGACGTCTCTGTGTATAATTGGAGGATCAGCAAGCTCATGAAGATAAGCTAGACCCTTCCCTGAACCAAGTGCTATTTTCAGCCTTGCAGTCCAATCCAGTTTAATCCCATTCTCCCCTGCATTTTCGTTAGAATATTCAGCACCAAACAAGTAACTTACAATGGCTCTCAATAGAGATTTGATATTTACCTGATAGGCTGTCTCTAAGAGAGCCATTTGGTATGTACTCATACACGAGCATTTGTTCACTTTGATCAAAACAGAATCCCAAGAGTTTGACAACATTTTTGTGATGGACCCTTGAAAGAAGCTCAATCTCAGTTTTGAACTCCAACCCTCCTTGCATCGATCCTTGTTGAGCTCTTTTGATTGCTATGAGTTGCCCAGAAGGAAGTTTCCCTTTGTACACCTATTAATTTCACCATCAAGATTTGTGATCATAATTTCAACTAATATGTCATTGTTTCTTTAATGACAAATGACACAAACCTGTCCATAACCTCCACCCCCAACATCATTTGCTTGTGAAAATCTGTCTGTATATTTGCTCATCTCTTCAAAAGTAAAGGCTTTTGCTCCCACAAGCCGTGGAGCATCGATCTTGCTCTTACCGATATCCCACTTGCCTACAAGGTACCATAGAGAAAGCTGTGAGGAATTTTTTAATCAGAGTATTTTCTAGTAGTGAAACCATTTCGTTTCTTCTTACCAAAAGGGTTCATTTTATTATATGCTCTCTCAGCTCTCTTCTTCTGCCTAAGAGCGTAAATCCCAGCTACAGTTGACAACAAGAGAAGAATCGCAGCACCAACTGATGCTCCGATTATAATGCCCATGTTTGATGACTTGGAACTTCCTATATACAATGTGGCAGAGAGCATGTGAATCATATACTGAACCAATTAATATAGATTTGCTGGTAAAGTATATTAGGCAAAGTCTAGAGGTGGCTGGTTCGAATGTAGAAGAATATCATATAAGTCAGGTTTGAGAGGATGTACGGGCCTAAGCCCAAAATCTCTTAATATTAAAAAATGGTTTGAGTGTGTGTGACATACCGTAGAATGTTTTGTACGGATGGGCGTTGAAAACATAAGGGCCAAATCTTGAAGGAGGTTTATATAACTGCATGCTAAACACAGAAATAACACTATCCATTCCGGTCTGATTAAAACTATCTTGCTTCGATGGAAAGATGAGGAGATCTATTTGAAGATGATAATCAGTTGGATTCTCTGTTATGTTTTTGATCTCCACGGACGCCACTGGATAATTTTTTTCCTTAAAGTGAGCAGCTATACTCTCCTGGAGCGTTCTGAAGTAAGTTTTGTTGTAAAAACTTGAGAAGGAAGGAGACCTTAAGGTGAATACTCCTTTTAGTGGATACATACAGTGACATTCTTGATTCAGTTCCTGTTCTGAACCGCAAGGACGACTACAGTTTGTTCGAAGGGTAGAATAAGAAGAATTTGGTTGGAGTATATTGCAGTAGTCATTGTGCCGGTTAGCCGGGTCTTTGCACACTTGATTATCAGCCAACCTGTGGATATATGTATCAAGCAATTCATTGAAAATGTTACAAAAATATTGATTTTGTGACTCCTTATAGGGAGCTTGATTTTGTGAAAGACTACATACATTACTTGGATCTTGTCATTAGCTGCTTGTTTATAACCAGTTATGTCGTTGTTTCGTAAATCCACAAAATTCAACTGCTTGCTATAGTTGGCACCAATGTCCAATGTTTCGTTTATAAGATTGCGCTTTAGGTAACTGCAAGTCAAGAGCAAATATCCCATTTAGTAAAAAAAAAATCGCAAATCAAAAGTTTCATATCTTATTTGACTCACACAATCTCCAATAGACTAGGGCTAAAGAGAGAAGCTGGTACTGGACCTTCAAGTTGGATCCCTTCCATTCTTCTGCGACCATATATTCTTATTAAGCATACGTACACAAAGTACATATATAGAACAAGGGAGAGGAATGATCATACAATGTTGACAGAGAGTGTAATGAAGAGATCCATGATGGAACTGGTGCTACTGTCAACAAGTTATTGCTCACATCTCTGTTCACATCATGACATTAGATTGATTCATGATTATTTATTCAAGGTTTCTCATGTTATTAGAAATTGAGCTTATAACAAAATATAGAAACTTACAATGTGTAGAGACCGGTCAAGCTGGTTAAATTTGGTAGAGTACCTGTAAATCTGTTGTTGGCCAAGTACCTGAAATGTACTCAACGACAATCTCTTTAACCTCTTTTCATTTTATATATGCAAAAGCACAGACCAAAATTTTAGTTTCTTTGCACTTACAGTTCTTGAAGATTTGTGAGATTATTAAGACTTGAAGGAATATCTCCTCTTAGTCTATTTCTATCGAGGCGTCTATAACAAAGGAAAAGAGCATATATATGAAATTAAACAATTTATAGGATAAACAAATAATTTAGAAAACTATTTCTACTACTTACAACACAGTCAAGTTTTTAACTAGGCCGAGGCTATCCGGGATTTTGCCCGTGAATTGGTTTCCATCGAATAGCCTATCGATAAAACAAGAAGCAACACAATCATCAATTATGTACTTACTAATCACAACTGGTGCAACCTCTCAGCATTCACATGTACTATGAAACTTACAAATGTAACAAACTCATGCTTGAATTAAAGAGCTTCTCTGGGATAACGCCCCAAAGCTTGTTATTTCCAAAATGACTGCAAGAGCATGTAAAGGAGAGTTAGACTAAAGTGATTATATAATAAGAAATGGAAAGATTTGAGATTATATATACAAATGATTGGTTGCAAGAAGCATGTCAAGTCCAGGTGAAGAAGTAGTAGAAACCGGAAGCTCTCCTTCGATTTGATTGTCAGATATATCGAACCAAATTAGTTTTGATAACCGTCCAAGAGAAGCCGGAATTGTTCCACTAAATTGATTTAAATTCAAGGAGCTGTATAGAGGAAACACAAATTAATACTAATGGATATAAACTATAGAGTGTGCAATTGAAAACACACATGGTTGCAACAAAATCTTACAGAGATGTAAGTTCTAATAGAGATCCAATGGAGGCAGGGATTTGACCACTGAAATTACATCCCATAAGGTTCCTGCAGGAGAAAAAAAAAGAAAGAAGTCAATTAAAATAGGCTATTTTGCAAATAGGTTATGTATGATCTTGATTGCTTTGCTTACAAGAACTGCAACTTCTTGAGGTTACCAATATTTTCTGGAAGCGGTCCAGTCAATTTAGGATTTGCTGTCAAATCCCTACAACACATGAGATCATAAGATGAAGAATAGAATCCATTATTGTGCAAAGGGTAGAAGAAAGACCTACAAAGTCTGCAATTCAACCAAGGTCAAAATCTCTTGAGGAAGCTTTCCTTCCAAGTTAAGGTTGCCTAGCGATCTGCAACGAGCAAGACCAAACAACGTTTAAAAGCCGTGTGGGTTTGTGTAAAAAGGTTCAAAGACAAAGAAAAGAAGAAACAAGGTTTTACATTGAAACAACGCGGTCATTGGTACATTCAATTCCAACCCATGAATTGGAGAATTTGGTTCCACAAGGATCAGAGCCTTTCCAACTCCTGGATAACGTTTTCCATTCACTCTTCAGGGTTTCTAAAGCAGCAGCTGCAGCAAATATTGAGAAAGATTCAAAACTTTTGAAATTTAAAAGACTCTGAATCATCTTTTTATAATTGTACTTACTGTCTGATTCATATGTGAACGCAGAAACAGAGCAAATTTGGAAGAAAAGCAAGATCAAGAGCATAAATACTCCACTTCTTGAACTCATCTTCAATGATTGTATCACAAAGAAGAAGAGACCATGTGGTCTGCACAAGTTATATAATCAACTCTAAGCTTGTAGAAACGAAAAGACCAAGACTTTGTACAATTTAAGTGAAAAATATTTACAAAATAGACAGTGGACCATATAATACGTATAGTTCAACTTGAAATATATAATACGAGAGAAGTCAAGGACGTTAAATCTAAAGATAAGAGAGATTTGTGAAATAGAGTAATGGTCAACGACTGAGTATGATGCAGTGATATGGTGTTTTTTAACAGAACGTGGGATAGTGTCATGTTGATGGAAATAATCAGCACAAGCAATTACCAACTTGAGATAATAATAATACTAATGATATATTGACCAGTACTTCCTCTCAAGTAAAACTATAGATTTCTTTTTTTTTCATTGTAACCCAAATTGATTATAAGAGAAAGTTTCCAAGAAGAATCAATCAATATCGTGACTCAAAAAAAAAAAAAATTCAATTGATATAAATAAAATGCTACTGGGTTACTACAAGAAGAATCAATTATAGGACGAAATTAATGAGAGAGTTTACAAGAAGAATCAATATAATAAATGTTGATTTGGTTTTTGGGTTTGTGGGTCAATTCTAGGATCTTTACATATTCTTTTTAACATATGCATTTCATTGATCAATCATCAAATGAACCTTTCGAATTCTATCAATTCTTTTGAAAACATTTTATAATCCATTATTGAACATTGTATTTCCGAATAGTTGAACATTCTTTTGTCAAAACAAAATTGATCAAGAGAGTGATGATGATGATATTCACAAGAAAAACCCAAAACACAAGAACCAAAAGAGAGAGAGAGAGCAACTTCTCATTTTCTCTATAGCTAACTCTTCAAGGTATATAATAACAAAGTTGAAACCCAAATTATTCATTTCATTTCCGGTTGAGAGAGCCTCCTGTGAACACCCAGTTCAGCGAGATTCCTGTGAAGACCCATCGTAGATCTTTTCATGTTAGAAGGTGTCCTTTTCTTGATCGGAGAACCCAAAGCTAAAGCAAGCTGTCGATGACGAACTGAAGATAACTTATTGAGATATGAATGAGCAATTTCTTTGCCATTAGAATCTGCAGCAGGAGCCACGACAATGCTTCTAAACGGCTTACGAGTTTCTTCTTTGTTGTTCTTATTTTGCAAGTGCTCACGTCGAATCTGAAAGCTTCCTGTTACAGAATCACACACACACACCTGACTCAGGATCTTTCTATGTATCTCTTCTACATGTTTACTATGATTGAGAGACTAAAGCTATCAAAAACACATCGTAGAGTAGTACCTTGTCCTTTCGGAAAATACTCTTGTTTTTTAATCGTGAGCTTAGGCCTATAAGCATGACCGACGATAGCTCTCTTCTCAGCTGTACGCAGAATCACACAAAAAACACAGCATAAGATCTTATGTATAGACTCAAAATCTGTTAAGCTTTGTGTTAGTGTCGTGAAGGAGCATTGATTGTCTAGGATCATTACTCTCCTGTTTGTTCTAGGTTTTACTTCAGTTTTGATAATTGATTCTTCTAGTAACCGGTGATTCAAATTCAAAGAATTAGTAAAGGAGAATACTTGTTATGAAGAATCTATCAGAAACTCCTATCTTTCTCAGGTTCCTCCAAAGGTAAGCTATCATCATAAACATTAAGTAAAAGATTGTACCTTTGCGTTTTGGAGACGAGTCTTGATTTTGAATCTTGAGCTCAGGCACAGAAGCGTCATCATCGATGGTAGCTCTGTTGCCAGCTGAATACAAAATAGGTTCTTCTTGGTGAAATGTGTCAGCAAATGGTTTCTGAGATTCATCAGCTTTAGGTGACTCGAAATCATCAAACGTGGAAGAATAATCATCATCGCTGCCAGACTCCGCCGAATGAAGCACATCTTCTTCTTGCTCATGACATCGGAAATCTGAGTAATTAACATCCGGGATGGAGACTTTCACCAAGTCATTGTTGGAATTACTGACATTCTTGTATACAAACTCCTCTGTGCAGCTAGTCTCAAGCACAGACTTTGGTGAAGTATTCAACGGAGTTGCTTCAAACAATATCTTCAGCTCTTCAAAAGCACTAGAAAACCATGGAGTTCCTTCTCTTGCGTAGAATAATATATACGCATTCTGCGTCATAACGCAATCTTGACTGAATTTTGTGACCTGCCAAGGTTTGCAAAACACAAAGAAAATTACATGTATTGAAATCCCTTCAGCGAGGTCAATGAAGAACTAAATTCTACAAATCAAATGAAATTACCTTTGCGTCATCAAAATTATGCCATGTCTCAGGAGCTGATCTCACATACGATGAGTAGTGACCAAAAGATACTCCGTTCCCAAGATGCTCCACAAAGGCGTAAAGCTGATATTTCGTAGAAACCTGAAGAAACCAAATAAGAACACAATTACATGTTATCAACTTGAAGATCTCAGATTTTTTTACAGAACAAAAAGGTCTGCAATTTTCACTTACTTCAGGATTTTGGTTACCGCTCATGTAAGGTTGTAAATCCAACTCCAAAGGGAACTCAACTTGCTTAAAGATCTTCTCCATAAAAAATCCATTATTCTTGAATCTTTTTAGATGGAATGTAGCAACCAGCGGCAACTTATCAAACTTCAGTTGCTTCTCCTTTGAAACTTTCTCCTTACAATTGTCACATGTAAACTGGTCCTCGAGTTTTTCGACGCGGGTAAAAGACTCTAGTGCACTCTCAAGGTTATCAACATCTTCAATTTCAAGACTCCATACAAGGGAAGGTTCAAATGTGTCCGAAAAGGAATTGCAGTTACAACAATGAAGCTGAAAAGGAAAAGATAAAACACACATATATATGAAATCTCTGCTTCAACACTAGTTTAATAGTATGGTAAAATAAATCAACTTGTTCTTACCCTACTCAAGAGACGACCACCAAAGACATTGTCAACAACGTTAACATCTTGAGAAGTGGTAGAGTCAGGCTTGTTTCTAAGATCCAAACAACATCTCTCTAACTTATCCAAAAACGACTGTAAAAACTCATGAGCATCTTCTTGGTGGTTTATCTGGAAGTCGGGAGAAAAATCTGTGGTGGTTTAAGGAAAAAACCAATTCATACG